ACACAAATAAACCAAAACCCTATGTCACCTAGATACTCCAATGTCACCTCAAGTATCTGTGGGTATGATTGTACAATATGCATCACACAATCTCAGATTCATCTATTCAACCAACACAAAGAACTTTAAAGAGTGCCCCAAAGTTTCTACCGGAGAGTCAAGATAAAAACGTGTGCCAACCCCTGTGCATAAGTTCAGGAGGTCACGGAACTTGCAAGTTGATCACGAAAACATACATCAAATGGATCACGTGACATCCCATTGTCACCACAGATAAGCACATAAAAGACATACATCAAGTGTTCTCAAATCCTTAAAGACTCAATCCGATAAGATAACTTCAAAGGGAAAACTCAATCCATTACAAGAGAGTAGAGGGGGAGAAACATCATAAGATCCAACTATAATAGGAAAGCTCGCGATACATCAAGATCGTGCCAAATCAATAACACAAGAGAGAGAGAGAGATCAAACACATAGCTACTGATACATACCCTCAGCCCCGAGGGTGAACTACTCCCTCCTCGTCATGGAGAGCGACGGGATAATGAAGATGGCCACCGGAGAGAGATTCCCCCCCTCCGGCAGGGTGCCAGAACGGATCTAGATTGGTTTTCGGTGGCTGTAGAGGCTTGCGGCGGCGGAACTCCCGATCTAGGTTATTTTATGGAGGTTTCTGTATATATAAAAGGTGTTGGAGTCAGGAACAAGTTAGGGGGTCCCCGAGGCGGCCATGAGAGAGGGGGCGCGCCCCCCACCCTCGTGTGTGCCTCGGGGACCTTCTAGCCCATCTCCCGTACTTCGTGGGCTTCTTCTGGTCAGAAAATTATCTCCGTGAATTTTCAGGTCAATTGGACTCTGTTTGGTTTTCCTTTTCTGCAATACTCAAAAACAGGGAAAAAACAGAAACCGGCATTGAGCTTTAGGTTAATATGTTAGTCCCAAAAATCATATAAAATAGCATATAAATGCATATAAAACATCCAAGGTTGATAATATAATAGCATGGAACAATCAAAAATTATAGATACGTTGGAGACGTATCAGCTGACTCCGAGAGTTCGGAGCCAGTGTCCGGGGAAGAGTCCGGCTTTCTGATAGTTGCTAGTGACACTGATTCCTCCGGCTCTCCCGTACTAGACTTAGTGGCCACAGATAGTCCGGCGGGTTTAGGAATCCTGTCTTCGGACCTGGCGACGCGCTCCGGCTCTAAGGCCAGAGCGGAGGTTGGGGTCGTGAATCCTTGAAAGATCAAGTCTCCTTGGATGTCAGCGACATAATCCAAGTTTCGAAAACTAATCTGGTGACCTGGGGCGTAGCTGTCGATCTGCTCTAGATGGCCAAGTGAGTTGGCCCGCAGTGCGAAGCCGCCAAACACAAAGATCTGACTGGGGAGGAAAACCTCCCCAGGGCAGCATTGTTGTAAATGATTGATGGAGCCATCGAACCTTCTTGTGATGACGCATCGGAACTCTCAATGAAAGCACCAATGTCGGTGTCAAAACCGGCGGATCTTGGGTAGGGGATCCCGAACTGTGCGTCTAGGGTCGATGGTAACAGGAGACAAGGGACACAGTGTTACCCAAGTTCGGGGCCCTCTTGATGGAGGTAATACCCTACGTCCTGCTTGATTGATCTTGATGTGTATGAGGATTACAAGAGTTGATCTAGCACGAGATCGTTGTGGCTAAACCATAGAAGTCTAGCATGTATGATTGTGATTGCCTCTACGGACTAAACCCTCCGGTTTATATAGGCACCGGAGGGGCCTAGGGTTGTACAAAGTCGGTTACAGAGAAAGGAAATAATACATCTGAACACCAAGCTTGTCATCCACGCAAAGGAGAGTCCCATCCGGACAGCGGGAGAAGTCTTCTGTCTTGTATCTTCATAACCCATTAGTCCGGCCCATGTTACATAGTCCAGACGTCCGAGGACCCTTTAATCCAGGACTCCCTCGGTGGGGACGCGAATCTGCAGGCGGAGCAGCAGGCAATCCTCGATTCCCTTCGGTAGGAGTCGGAGGTGAAGGGGAGACGCCGTCGTCGGCGGGAAGTGGAGGCGGAGCACACCGCGAAAGTCGGAGATGCTCGCGTATATGGACGAGGGAGAGGAGGAGCCGAAGTCCTCCTATGCGCCCGTCCACCCAGCATCTGGCACCGACGTCGTGGACATCTCCAACGACAGCTCGTAGCTATTGTGTCGTAGTACATTGGTTTATTTTGCATGGTTTGTATGGATCTACGGGATGAAATATGATAGACTCGGATGATAGCACCAAGTTTGAGGCGTGACCGATCAGTGTGCACGGGCATGCTGGGACGTCTCCGCGAGCATTTGAGGGGTCGGATTTGCTTGTCCACGGTTGTTGATGCTCTAAGGCCAACTCCACCGCGCGACCCTATCCTGTTCGGCCCCATCCGTTTGGGGTAAAACGGACAAAGGAGGCGGCCCAGCGCGCGACGGCCTGGACCCATCTTGTCTGTTTTGTGTCCGGGTCGACCCATTTCGAGCGCAAACTTGCGCCGGGTTTGGGTCGCGACGGACACCAAACGGACGCGCGGCTCGTCCGCGTCGGGGCCGCGTGGCAGGCGGCCACCTACCTCCCACCCGCCCACATCAATACGCACGAGCGGGCGGCCCCACCTTTCATCCGCACGTCGAACAGTCGCCGTCCTTCTTTAAGTGGGAAGCATGGACGGGTCGTCGTCCACACTGCCCCACGCCACCCCGCGGCCTCCTCGAAACCCGACAGCGTCGAATCCAAACCCTAGCCAAGAACTCGTCGGCCGGTCGCCCGCAGCAATGGGCCTCTGGAACTACGGCCGCAAAGGCAAGCACGACCGCGAGGCTGGTTCCTCGTCGGGACGCCCCCGCGGCTCGGTGAAGAAAGAGGAGCCCGCGTCGCCATCGCCACCACGTCGGGCCCTCGCGTCGCCCGCCTTCTCCATCGCGCCCGCCGCCGGCTCGCGCGACCGGCACTACATCGAGGCGGCCGTCTGCCGCCGTTATTGGGAGACAAGGACGCCGCCGCCCTAGAGCGACGTCCACCTTCCCAATAACTGGCATCTGTCGGCCGACCGCGTGCCGATCCTGCTCGTCCCGTAGAGCGGCCGTGCGCGCCGCCAGGAGATCGAGCGCCGCCGCCGCCTTCTCCCGGACGACCTCTACCACAACGAGAGGTACGCCCCCGACTCGACATTGTGGGACACGTGGTTCCGCAATGAGCATGGCGTGCGGCGGGCGTTGTTCTTCGCCGGCACGTCGACGGGGCCGCGGCGGCCGCGTGAGCCCCGAGCGGCTCCCCAGGCGCGCGGGCGTACGCGGGTCCGCGGCTTGACGCCCACGCCGTCGCCATCGCCGTGTCCATCGCCACCCCCACCTCCTCGCATGATGGCGGAGGAGGAGGCCTGGCTCATGGCGCGTGTGCTGGAGGACTCCATGCACATGCACGACGAGCGCCAATGGGCGGACCTCGAGGCGACGATGGCCCTCTCCGCGGCCGGCGACGTCGCCATCCCCGAGGAGCCGCCGGTGGCCGCGTTGCATCCTGACCTGGTGGGCCAGGGGTGGAGCTGGTCGTGCTCCGCTGAGCAGATGGCGGCCGCCCTGGGGGCCGTGAACTGGTGCCCCACGCCGCCGCGGTCGCTGGAGTGGGCCGTTTAAGTGGTATGAACTGGGCCGTTTTGTGGCCGTAACCCCTATATATATGTTTTATGTTTTTTAACTGCGTTTATTTACTTTTTTAGTCATTTCAATTAAGTTTTTAAATTATTTTTATTCACGTCCACCCCGAACAGGTTTTGGGGTGCGGCCGCGCGTTGGGCGCACCCACGACCCATCGGACAAACGCGGACGTGGGCGAACCCATCGGCGCCCAAAGAGACAAAATCCGGTCAAACCGGACGTCCGTTTGGGGTTGCACGGTGGAGTTGGTCTAAGAGGGCAAGTCGGGCTAGTTTGGGACCGATTTGGAGAGATTTGAAATGGGCCTGGCTCCGATTCGCCCCACATATTGGGTGGGAGATGCCAGCAAATCCAATAGGTTGGGTTGACTTTCTAGGTTGGTTTGGGTTGACTTTTCTAGGTCCAGCGCTTACTGGGTTGTCCGCTTAAACATTTGAGAAGGGTTTAATGTGTTCGGTCCTACCGGACTTCTCACTGCACCAAAGGACAACGAATCGTGCACCATCACCGCCGTGGCCACCGGACTACAGCCGTTGAAAACGCCGAGGGGACTGCCCGACGTTGTCCCGGAGAAGTTGGCGGTGGTGCCGCCCGTCGTAGGTACAGAGCCGGACGCAGGCCTCGACATCCGGACACATGCATGCCACGAGAGCACATACTACATGCACGTCGAGCAACTAGCGTGTGTTGGTGGCGGACCGGTGGGAGGAAACGCGGGAGTGTCCGCAAATGTTACCCGCCCTCGCGTGAAAGCTGCGGCGAGACCCTGGACACAACCGTGCAAGAGAAAGTTTGGCTGGTAACCGACGGCCGGCCACGAGGATAGGCGGTAGGCCAGCAGCCACCGGATCGAGATCACTCGGGTGATGGGCAGACAGTGCGGCACCAAACAGGTCGTGGTCTAGCGGCACGAGCTTCCGCCACCCCTCTCGATCGCCGTCCCGGCTATATATTCGACGGCTCGGCGGGCGCCCCCCACTTCGTCCTCCCGCTGCCCATCCCCCACCCGTGCCGCATCCGTTGGCATCAATGGCGACGCCTCGTTAGGTGGCGCGTCGCTCTTCCTTAACTGCTCCCGCTCACACACGCGCATCGGGTTCAGACGGCTCTGCGTCGAGTTGGTGCGTGCGCTACTCCTCCTCCACCCCTCCTTCCCTGCAGCTGCTGCAGCTCCGCTTGTGACTCGTGACGGGAAGAGGGGAGATAAAATAATACCCCGCCAACCGCGGCGAGGCGTCGGCCGAGCTACACCTGTCGCCGCAGGAGCTGGAAGACCTCCGTCGTTTATATATCCACGCCTGCCGCTGCCGGGGATGTGAGTTTCTTGACGCACGGCCGCCGTGCTCTTCCTTTTCCTTCTTGGTTCTTGATTCGCCGGCCATTGCTAGCTTAGCTTAGCTTAGTCTGGTGTGCGCGCGGGCGCGGGTACTGATGGCGTGTGCGTGATGCTGCTGCGTAGGAGCGAGCCGGGCAACGAGCTGGACGAGCTGCTCTGGGATAACGGACCGGCGCTCCGGCGGGCGGCGTCGCCCTTCCCGCCCTTCTCCTGCAGCCCCGCCGGCACTATGAAGGCGCAGGAGCTCGCCAAGCACCCCGCGTCGGCGACGGCGATGGCGCAGGGGCACGACGACGACGCCGTGCCGTGGTTGCAACATTACCCCATCATCGGCGTGGACGACGGCGGCGGCGGCGATACGGCCCCGCTGCCCCAGGACTACTTCTCCACCTTGTTTCCCGGGTTCTCCGACCTCCCCGCTGCGGTGGCGGGCAGAGATGCCGGAGCGCCATCGACGTCTCACGCAGCGGTCGTCGTGCCGCCGCTGCCGGAGCCACCTGTGCTCCCCAAGCAGCAGCAGCAGCAGCAGCAGCAGCCGCCGCCGCCTCGGTCCACCGGCGAGGGCGTCATGAACTTCTCCTTCTTCTCGAGGCCCCTGCAGCGCTCGCTGCCGCAGGCCAGCGTGAGACCGTCTGCCGCGGGAAGCAAGTCCGTCGAGTCCACGCTGCTGCAGACCAACAGGCTAAGAAGCACCCCGCTGTTCTCGGAGCAGAGGACGGCGTGGCTGCAGCCGCCCAGGGAGTCGCCCGCCACGGTGGCCGCGCCTCGTCCTCTGGCACCGCCAGTGCCTGTCCAGCATGCCGCAGAACCGGCAGCGGCGTTATCCCAGAGATTGCAACCGGAAGCGAGGGCTGCGGCGTTACCACCGAGATTGCAACCGGAACCGAGGGCTGCGGCGTTACCCCAGAGATTGCAATCGGAGGCGAGGGCTTCCGAGATGCCACCGCCGCCCGCAACAGCGACGACCTCGTCTGTCTGCTCTGACAACGGTGAGCGGAGCCAGCTGAAGAGGAGCAGCCACCAGACTCTGGAGTGGTCGGTCAGTCAGGACGACGAGGTGAGCACCGGACACATACATGGTTAACACCGCGAACGCAGTACTGTTCTTCTTGGTTCAAAATCTCAAACGCAATCTGCCTGCAGGACCTTGACGACGAGGCCGGCGGGCTGAGAAGGTCGGCGGCGAGGAGCACCAAGCGCGGCCGCACCGCCGAAGTGCACAACATGTCGGAGAGGGTAGGTCCTAGTAGCGATCCCGAATGCACAAAATAAATACACACCGTACACCGAAGTGGCATTCTTCCGGTTGCTAAATTGGTACTCCTCCTTGGAAGATAGCTAAATTGCTGTATGAAATTGCTGTTGCAGAGGAGAAGGGATCGAATCAACGAGAAGATGCGCGCCCTGCAAGAACTCATCCCCAACTGCAACAAGGTACACGATCCATCAACCTTGGCAAGAAAGCTCAAAAATACTTTGACAAGAGCACAAAGTAACATCCAATGTTTGTGGTGATGAAGATTGACAAGGCGTCGATGCTGGAGGAGGCCATCGAGTACCTCAAGACCCTGCAGCTCCAGGTGCAGATGATGTCGACGATGGGGACGGCCGGGCTGTGCATGCCGCCGATGATGGCAATGCAGCACATGCAGATGCCGCCCATGGCGCACTTCCACCACCACCACCTCGGCGCCATGGGGTACGGCATGGGCCCCTTCGACCCGCGCCTCGTCGCAGCCGCCGGCGCCGCGCAGTTCCCTTACCAGATGATGCCCGGCGCGCCCATGTTCGGCGGCCACGCGATGCCTCCCCCGCCACCGTTCCACCAGGCGGCGGTGGCGGGCGCTCACATGGCTGCCGGCCCCGTCAGCAACGACGCCGCCACGGCAGCGCAGGCCGAGCACGAGCAGACACCCGGCGACCATCCGCAGGTCCCACGAGCAATGTAGCCTAGCTCCGACAGCGGCGGACTCTGTAGCAGGCTAGCGGCGCACCCAGCAAGGCTCGGTAACTCCGAGCAGGGCTGCGGCAAAACGAAGCTGTAAAATCTTTGTGAGACTGTAAAATGGCTCACTGCTCCGGCATCTTCTCCGTGTCAGAGGATAGGCCGGGTACAGTGTCTGCTGGGGAGGATCAATGGATCAGGATCGCTTCTGCTTCCCGCTGCAGTATTCAATCCTGACATGTCCTACCCTGTTTAAAGCTGTGCCCGGTGCCCGCCGCTCATGATGCCGCGGACGGACAAGAGTCAATCTGAAGTACTGTTGGCGCACATGCATCATGGCGCCGATGGCAGCTTGAGCTGGCACGGGCTCGGGCAGTCCATGCCTTAGAGCATCCCTAGTGGCTCGTCTAAATTTGATAGTCTATATTTACATATACACAATGGTGTAAAAAGATTTTCTTTTAGACAACCTAAGTTTTTCAGCGGATTGTCTACATACATGATGTCTATATTCTCTTTCATATATTTTAATAGTATCTTATAGCAGCTATATTTTCTAAAAATCTTATGTTGGTCATTTCTGAGTTGTTCTCATTTATTTTTTCCATCCGCAAAACATATAAAGGAGAAAATAAACCAGCCGCCAAATTATTTTATGTTCAACACTAGCAACACCCTATATAATTTACGAGAAATAAACAATAGCAACAGGTTCAACCCTGATGAGGCGGCGGTCCAGGCGCAACGACCTCCGTGTCCAGCGCCGGCGCGGCCGCTTCCCTGCCGACATCCTCCAATTGCTCCGAATTGGTGAATGGCTGAGCTCATGAGCCAACATTTTTGGTTTAGACGTTATGGCTTGGTTGTCCAAATGTGGACGACGGGTAGCTAGTTTAGACATTGTCTAAATTTTAAACGATGCAATAGACAAGCCACTGAAAACGTTTTTCGGCATGTGGTAGTCTAAATTTGATATAAACCATCATTTGCACAAGCCACTATAGATGCTCTTATCATCAGCTGCGTGTGGGAGCGTAGGAGCGTGCGTGCGTCGGGGCCAAAGATGCTTCGATCACACCACCCGCGACGATGTTGCCCAGCCGGGGAGCAGGTCCGGAGCAAACGGCGCAAAGGGTTTGGATCAAGCCAACTGAAAACGTTAGAATAGAAAAAACATAGTAGGATTAACATGGCATGTTCATCTTAATCCTATCCCCTATAGGATTTTTTTGGCTTGTTTGATTGCATCGTATAAGAAATAAAGGATTATTTTAAAGAGGTTAGAGTGAATGTTAGAAATTCTATGGAAAATAGTACAAAGAAATCATTAGAAAAAATTCCGAGCCGCCTGCCGCTAGGGCGACTCGAGCGGCACCCAAAAACCTAGCCGCCACCAGCTCACACTCTCTCCTCTCCTCCCTCCGCCGCCGCTAAGGGACACCGCTGGCCTAAGCCCGGGGGCGGACGGCGGTGGCAGAGGACATCACCTTTCTCCCACGTCTCTGGGTTGTGCGGGGCCCCGGTTCGTATGGAGGCACGCCCGATCTGATCGATGGCTGCAGTGCGGCGGCGGCGGAGGCGGCCCGAGCTGCGGGCGTGGCGGCGGCGGAGACGGCCCGGGCTGCGGGCGCGGC